GCAGGGGGGAGGTGCTGCTGCAACTGCAGGGGAGGCAAGGGGTGAGGTGCTGTTGCACCTGCAGTGGAGGCAAGAGGTGAGGTGCTGTTGCACCTGCAGGGGAGGCAAGGGGTGAGGTGATGTTGCACCTGCAGGGGAGGCAAGGGGTGAGGTGATGTTGCACCTGCAGGGGAGGCAAGGGGTGAGGTGCATTTGCACCTGCAGTGGAGGCAAGGGGTGAGGTGCTGTTGCACCTGCAGAGGGGAGGTGCTGCTGCAACTGCAGGGGAGGCAAGGGGTGAGGTGCTGTTGCACCTGCAGGGGAGAGGCAGGGGCAAGGTGCTGCTGCACCTGCAGGGAAGGCAGGGGGTGAGGTGCTGTTGCACCTGCAGGGGAGGCAAGGGGTGATGTGCTGTTGCACCTGCAGGGGGGAGGCAGGGGCGAGGTGCTGCTGCAACTGCAGGGCAGGCAGGGGGCGAAGTGCTGCTGCACTTGCAGGGGGGAGGCAGGGGTGAGGTGCAGTTGCATCTGCAGGGTTGAGGCAGGGGCGGGGGGGGAGGGGCAGGAGGTGAGGTGCTGGGGGAGGCAGTAGACAAACACAGCTGTACACACCTGCAGACTTTGTTGTGTATGAAAGTCGACACGTTGCGTTCACTCAGAGCTGCTTCCCTTTAAATCAGACTCCGGTCTCTCTGTGTTAATGGCACATCAGATAAAAGATGAAATTACAAATGGCACCAGGACCGTCTGGTTCTGCGTCCTGTCCTCCTACAAACAGGTCCAGAGATACAACAAAGATCAAAAACACCAAGTCTGGATTGGAGACACGTTCACGCTGAGGAAGCAGAGGATGTTTCAGTGAAGAACGTGTTGCTGCCTCTCTCTCCACAGAGCAGAAGGTTCAGCTCTGGGTGGAAGCAGGAGCTGTTCACTAAGTTCGGTTTTTGACCCAGTTTCAACAGAAGAACAGGACAAGCTGGGATATTTATTCTCCTCTTCATCACCAACACACAGCTCATCTGAGGAACTTCATGTTGTTTTCATTGAATTGCTGCTTTTGAAGCTGGTCGTCGTCCATCGTTCTGGAGATGCAGCTCGGTCATCAGGCTCCAAACGTGTTTTTAACAAATGGACCAGGTTTTTGAAGCATGATCCTCTTTTTAAAATCTGAGAGCTGCTGCGCCTCTTCAGTTTGTAAAGTTTAAACAACATTTTCATCTTGTAAAAAGTGCCTCTGTAGGTCTGAAGGTCCCGTCGACTCTTAGGAAATATTAGTGAGATTTTGTGTTGCTGTTTCACGTTTGTTCTTCCAGATTTATTTAAGATCGTGTCTCGGTTGTGTTAGCAGGTCCATCCCACCATCCTCAGCTGAAACTCGGCCGTGTCCTTCGGACTGACTCGAGCTTCAGCTGCAGCTCTCAGACACTTGAAGAAGCTGAAGAAGATGTTAGCAGAGGCTGTCTGCTTTCACATGGAGGATTTTGGAGAAGCCAGGTCGCTTCTTCAGAGCCTGAAAGAAATAAAAGGAGATGTCAACATTATCCTCACAAAACTGTCAGATTCCTTAACCTGAAGACAAAAATATCTGATTCATCTCTCATCATTTTCATCTGAAGTCAGGAAGGAAGCAGCTCAAAGTCTGTCAGAACTGGTTTGAAGCAAGAGATGATGCTGAGTTCAAGGATCTGAGATAAAAACTGAAGCTTGCATCTTTTAGGGTGGTCACTGCGGTGGGACATCTTTCCTGACTCATTAAAACGAAGCCTGCCTGTGTGGCTGCTCATAAAGCAGCTCAGATCGACTCACCGACGCGACTCACAAGTTATTCTGAGGAAAGCAGACGTCATGTCCAGGTTTAAATGAAACTAGCATTCCGCGAAGGAAAGAATGACTTCCTGCCTTGCACGTCAAAGTTTTAAACAAATACATCATTTGTTCTGCTAAAGCTCAGAGCATGCGTTGGAAATGACTCTCAGCTACTACCACACCACAGTTTATCTCTGTAACTTCTGTAAAACTGAGCTATTTTACAGTAATGTGTTTACTCAGAGGTACAAAACTCCACGGAAACTCTCAACATGAACAGACGGTCAACAAGGACTGAAGAGGTTTAACTCCCAGTTAGACATCGGAGTCGGAACAAAGCCACTGAAAGTGATCCTGATGGTCTGCAGGAGAACGTTTCCTTCACACAAAAACCTAAAGACGCGTTGTTGACTCGGGCTCTTATTTTGAAGAGTCCAACACTTGATGCTCCGTGTGAGTCTGAGCAGCTGTTACCTGCAGCTTGTTGACCATCTCATCAAACAGCTTTCTAGCTTCTGGACTGTTGGGGTCCTCAAAGTAGTCCTCTATACCGATCTGAACCACGATGGACTTAAGGCTGCGGCAAACACCTGCACGATTACAAAAACCATGTCAAGGTTGTTGATAAAGCAGATCTGATCAGACAACATGAGGATCAGCGCTGAAGGAAATGACTGAGGCTCATTAAGCAGGAAGTGGATTAGAAGTGTCCTCACAGCGTGGATCAGTTTCCACTGGGACAGTTTAAACTCACTGTTGAAGTGGAGCAGGGCTTTTGGGGTGACGGGTGTGGAGGTGAGCACCAACATCTCCAGACCCTTCAGGCCTTCTCTGCAAACCTCTGCTGCCACCTCCTGGTTGATCTCGCTCACGTGGTCCAGCTCCAACACCTGCAGCCGCATGCAGTTCCTGGCTGCATCCAGAATCATCCAAAACAAAGCGCATGTTAGAAGAGGGCGAAGGAGATTTGACAGAACAGAAGCAAATGTCTGATCAGTCACACTTTGTTTCCGTGAACTGCAGCAGTGTGTTCTGCTCATCTTGTTCAGGACAAAACTGTTGGAAACTTTGTTGGTTGCACCTTTTATCATTTTTAATATTAAATCATCTGATTGAACTTCAGATTCTTCTACAACTTTGCTCTCTTGGAAAACTAACTAATTTAGCACATTTTCAGTTAGGAGCACAATCTGAAGTTGAACTGGGTTACTAACATGTTCAGCTTTGAGCAAATGATTCAGTTTATTTATATATTTTGGTACAGTGCAGGTTAAGTTTAAATAATTTTAGGTTGGTTGTTATATTTAGAATGGGTGGTTTTGAGTGGATGACATCACATGTCTAACTTTTTTAAAAACAGTTTTCACACACTTTTTATTGACTATTATGGATTTGGAAAGCCTGACAAAGACTCAACTTCCTAGAAGAATAGATATACGTATATATACAAACTACATATATGCCTATATCATGTATGTCTCTACTTTACCATCATAATTAATAAGGGTCAATTCACCTCACAAGACCCACAGAGCATGTGGAGGGGCATAATGTGTATAACAGATTATAAGGGCAGGAGTGCACAATGCACCAGGGACTCATCACTGCCTGATGACCTCAACACATTCTACGCACGCTTTGAAGACCCGAACAGACCACCCAGCACCAGACTCACCTCACCACCGGAAGAGGAGTTTCTCAGCGTGACCTCAGCAGAAGCAAGGAGGACCTTCGGGAGGATTCATCCTCACAAGGCAACAGGTCCAGACAACATCCCAAGGAAAGTGTTGAAAGAATGTGCAGATCAGCTCTGTGAGGTGCTGGCCTACATCTTAAACTCCTCCATCACCCTGGCAACAGTTCCCACCTGCCTGAAGACCGCCACCATCATCCCAGTCCCAAAGAGCTCTACAGTGACTGGTCTGAAGGACTATCGGCCAGTGGCCCTCACCCCAATAGTCGCTAAATGCTTTGAAAGACTGATCATGACCCAGATCAAAACAACCATCAACATCAGCGAGGACCCTCACGCATACCACGAGAATCGATCAACAGAGGACACCATCTCCTCTGTGGTCCACACTGCTCTCACCCAACTGGAGCAGAAGGACTCTTATGTCCGTATGCTTTTTGTGGACTTCACGTCTGCCTTCAACACCATGATCCCCCAAACCCTGATGGACAAACTACTCTCACTAGGATTAAGCCCTTCCATTTGCAACTCCTAGACTTCTTAACAAACAGACTTCAGTCATTGAGGATCCACAACTTCTCCTCCTCCACCTTAACCCTCAGCACTGGCTCTCCTCAGGGCTTTGTGTTGAGCCCTCTCCTGTTTACTCTGCTCATGTATGACTGTGCACCTACCCATCCAGGCTGTCACATTGTAAAGTTTGCAGATGATACAGCGGTGGTGGGATGCATCACAAACAATGATGAGTCCAACTACAGGCAGGAGGTGGAACACCTGGAGAGCTGGTGCAGGAAGAACAACCTTCACATCAATGTGAAGAAGACGAAGGAGATGATGGTCGTGGATTTCAGATGGGACAACCCCCCCCCAAACATAGGAGGATCTGTGGTGGAAGTGGTCTCCAGCTACAAGTACTTGGGTGTACACCTGAATGACAACCTCAGCTGGAGCAACAACACAACCAGTCTGATCAAGAAAGCTCATCAGAGACTCTACTTCCTCAGGCGGCTGAGACGAGCTGGTCTGGGAAGCTCAGTCCTCACCTCCTTCTACAGGTGTGCAGTGGAGAACCTCCTGTGCTCCAGCATCAACGTGTGGCATGGAGGCTGCACAGCTGCAGAAAGAAAAGCTTTGCAGAGAGTGGTGAAGGCTGCACAGAAGTCTGTTGGAGTCAGTCTCCCCACCATCACAGACATCTACACCTCCAGATGCAGGAAGAGGGCCACCTGCATCATGAAGGACCCCACTCACCCAGCACACACACTTTTTGCTCTGCTCCCTTCAGGAAGGAGGTTAAGGAGCATTAAGTGTAGAACCACTAGACTGAGGAACAGCTTCTACCCTGAGACTGTTAGACTCACGAATCAGGATAATCACTGTGAAAAAAAAAATAATTGTAATGCCGCTTGATTGTTGATATGTGCTGCTGATTATCCATATTGCTGATCTTATGCTACTGATTTATTTCATGCTGCTGTGTTCATTCGTACTCATCTGCTCACACAGACTCATGTTCATGCTGCTGTTCGGCGTATTGTTTCTGTACTACTAGTGTTTAGAGTATTCTTAGTTTTGCATATTTCTTAGTTCATATCTTAGATCTTATTACTGTTTTCCTTTACAATTTATATTTTTGTTGGATGTAACTGGGATCCTGTGTACACCATTTCGTTCCATCACATGTACCACATATGATGTGAATGACAATAAAGAAACCTTGACCTTGATAATTGAATAAATCTAAAAGTTATTCACTACCTATGCAATAACCTGTCACACAACCTGTGCAGTTTATGTTAGTTATGCACAATATACAGTATATCACGTGCATTTAAGCTTATATTACTACCTTGAAATATTTATTTATACCAATCCATCCACCTTGCACTGTTATGTTCTACCATGTTGTTGTTTACTACTTTTCTTTGGACCTTGTAAATATTATATTTCTTTTTCACTTTTTTGGTACTTTATTTTTTTACCCTTATTGCATGTTTTAGTATTTCTTGTTTCTTTGTTCTTTGTTTTTAGAGATTCAAATCAGTGCTTCTCATCCTGAACATTTCATTGCACTGTTGCCCTTGTGTTAACCTGCATATGACAAATAAACAACATAACATTTATTTAGATAAAGAAAAGTCTAAACAATAATAAGAAATAAGTGATATTTGTGTTGTGTGTTGAGCATTTACCCAGAGAGGCCAGGCCCTGAATGCCACATCCAGCGCCTCCCACACCCAGAGCTCGGAGGTGAGGCCAGCACCTTCCAATCGTCTGCAGGCAGCGGTTACTGAAGCGGGCCGGCTGTTGGCTGAAGCAAACAAACACCCGGCTAAACGTCGGCTCATTAAAGCAACACTTCAGAGCTTCTGATGTGGGCGTCGGTGAAAAGGTTACAAATAGTCAATATCTTACTTGTTGTAGATAAATTTCAGTTTTGAGAAACTGTTTATTTCTGACTGGACTGATGAGCTAACAGCTGGTCCAGCTTGGTCAGGACTAAAGTGAATTTCTGCCATTTCAATGCTATTCAATCTCAACTTTTGGGCGTTTCATGAGAAATTTAAAAACCTTTACATCAACTTCAGTTTCTGTCAGATCAGTGTTGTTTATAAGTTTATTTCTTGTGTTGTGTTCAGGTGTTCCCAAGTGTTTCATGTAACATCAACACTTTTCAACGTTTTCTGCTCCTCGGCCCCTCCCACTTACACCTGTTCCCTGTTTTCATTAGTCTCACCTGTCACCACTTACCTCATCTACTCCTGCCTGTTATTCTCTGTCCCGACTAGTCTTCAGTCAGTCGTTTAGGTATTGGGTACAATGGTTTCTCCTCCGTGCTCCTCAAGTTCTTTATGTTAGCTTGTGTTGTGCAGCGACACCGGCCTTCGTTTAAAGTTTACATTCAATTTAAACAAATCCAGTCCTGGTGTCAGACTGAATCTTTGAGTCCTACCTCAACGGAACTATTTATTTCTTTGGTTATTTAAGCAGCAACTGTGTTGCTGTGTAGCCAGAAGCACTTTGTGCAGGGATACCATAATATTTCCTCTGGAATAACAGCGTAATCCATCACTGACTGCAGTGCACAAGTAATGAAGCAGCATTTACATGAACTGTCAAGGGAATTTAGGTAAAGGTTTATGGATGTGTGGAACTAACTAATGTTAAATTAATGTGTGTGAGTTAGAGTCGTTTTTCCTCTCAGAGAGGAGCCTGCAGGCACACGGAGGAGCACCTGATAACTCCACGGCCTTCTCTGAGTCTGTAAGATGGAAAGCCGAGGTCGTCTTGACCTCGCCTCTGTCTGATAAGTGTGTATTATAAAACACTTCCTGCCTCACTGTCCGGTGCAGATTCTCACTGACGAGACTCTAAACATGTAACTTTGTATGTACGTGAAAGCTTCTTCGTGACTGTCTACCCTTGCAAGTAAAAGACTGGTTATAAAAAAAATATTCTCATGTCCTCAAAGTGGCTTATTTGAGTAAGTAGATGATGAAAGGATATTTATTTATCCAATATGAACCACTATGATACTTTTCAGTATTGCTTTAAGATGGTGAAACTCTGTTTTAAACTTGTCCTACCTGAAATAGCCATTAACTCGTCCATTTAATCAGAATAAAACTTTAAATTAAACTGTTGTTGTCCAGAGAACTGCCTGCAACAGGTAAGATATTGTTTGTTCATAATCTTTCTACAGAACCCCACTTCTAAATATGTTAACTATCACTTTATTGCCTTGCCTCCAGACTGATCCCCTCCCCTCATTCCACACAGTCTGAAGCATCTAAAGCAAACATCCAGGTATGACACCTGGACAGGTCAGAACTGTGTAGGTCTGAAAAACTGGACCCGCAGAATATTGTCCCGATGGTGACACATCATGACTGATTTGGTTTTTATGGTTTCATCTGAAATTACCATGGGTGTAGGGGGGCCACCTGCAGAGAAATGATGTCTCTACACCCTGCCCCGAGGGCCCAGATCACCTCCTGGCCAACCGGATCTGTAGCGCTCCTGGAACAAATCAAACGTTCACCCTTTACTTCATTTGTCGGGGCGGTCAGGGGTGCAGGAGGGCGGGGTGTGGTGGTGTACCTGTAGGTTACGGCCTGGAGGGCCCGGCAGTAGCAGCTGGCCAGCCACAGGGAGCGATCGGTCAGCAGGTTGGGACAGTGGGAAACCTTCAGGATCAGCAGGCTGCTTCCTGTGGCCTTCAACAACGCCTCCAAGCCTTCCTCCAGGCAGCCACTGGCACACACATGTCAAACACAGAAAACAGTGATTTATCTGCTCTTCAGCTCCAACAGCATCTGCACCAGAACCAGCACACGCTGTATCTAAATGTTCCTCTGAGTTCTGCTGCAACGTTTCTGTGAAGCTCCAGGCTCGTTCAGAGGCTGTGATTTAAGAGCATCTTCTGACATGAAACATGTTCTTCACATAAATAACTTCTTTTCCACTCTCATCAAGCCGCTGCCTGTTTATTGTTTTTTCCAAATGAAAGCTGGTGTTTCACAGATGGAGGACACCCAGACAGCATCAAAATGTCAGCTTTCATCCCCCTGATTCTTCGCCCTGGCCTCCTCTCATCAGTCGGTGTCTGAGAATCTTCTGGTACGTCTTTCACGTCAACCATTTGTGAAACACGGAGGTTATTCACGTCATGGGAATAAATCCCTCGGAGCTCTGCGGGTGTCTCACCGTGTGCTTTTAAGGTAGTCCTCCTTGGTTTCCTTCTTGCCGCGCTGTCTTGGTTTGAGGTTCTGCAGGATGAGTGAGTGTGTCTGAGTGCACCACTGAGACAACGTGCTCAGGAACTGAGAAGAATAAATACGGACAATAAACAGATTAGAAAATACAGCAGGTATAAGTGCTCTCAGCCCGGAAACACACGCGCTACGCTGGAGTTGCACCTTGGAAGAAATGCGAGCGTTTTCTAGCAGCACTCTGGTCCACACGGCTGGGTGACGGGCCACAAACCTCCAGTTGCGGCACACCTCGGCGGCTCGCAGCAGGGTTTTAGTATCCAGGTAGGTGAAGATGCAGAAGAGGGCCGCGCGCATTTTCAGGATGTCTGGACTGATCACCTCGTTAGACTTGGACGGGCTCTTTTCATGTCGACACGGCTTGCTGTAGTCAGATCGAGCTGCAGGAAGAAAAGGAAACTTTACAGACGTACTGTAAACAACATCAGGACAACTGTAGCTGAAAGATCTGTGGGGGGTCAAACACCTCAGTCTCATTAAAGGAATGCTCCACATCTTTTAAAGTGGGGCTCTGTTGTTGTCTTGTTGCAGATAGCTTTGAACAACCTTAAACTGGAGCTTTTATTTTGACAGGACAGCTGAGCTAACAGCAGCACAAGACCAAACTGGATGGCAGCTGTTCTCATGTGAGAACTAAAATTTGATAGCTTAAAATTTTTCTTTAAAACCTTCACACTGCCTTCAGTTTGGCATTAAACCGTCACTGTGACAGAAATGTTTGTATCTTCCTGCTCATAGTGGCCCAGGCGGGCCACAGCTAACTGCTGCTGCTCTTTAACAAAGCCTGCTCGCCTCCGTTCTGGACCTGCCATTCTGTGTCCGTTCCTCCTTCCTGTCCTCTCTAACTCAGCTGGTTGAAGCAGATGCCGCTTGTCCTGAGCCTGGTTCTGCTGGAGGTTTCTTCTTGTTTAAAGGGAGTTTTTCCTTTCCACTGTTGCCTTTGTGCTTGCTCAGGATGGGAGATTGCGATGGAAATAAACTGAACTGAATTGTAGTTTGTGTTTGTCAATAAACAGCGTTCGATAAAAACAACACGTCATGTAAAGGTTTGACGTCAGCAGCAAACCACTCAGTCCTGCTCTGACAAGCCATGCGCTCGTCAGTCCGGTCAGAACTAATCTCTTTCTATAAACTCAAAGAGCCATCAACAACAGGTAAGATATTTGTTGATTACTTTTTCATTCACAAATATCTGAATTCTCCCTTAAATAACAAACAATTGTCGTTTTTTTGCCAAACGCATGCAGACAGCTTGTCCTCTCATGTCTCAGAGCCACTGGAGACCATTTAGCCCCCAACCATGATAAACGAAGAGAGAGATAAAGAAACTAAACCAAACCATGATCAATGAAGAGAGAGATAAAGAAACCAAACCATGATCAATGAAGAGAGAGATAAAGAAGGTAAAAAATATATTTTTGTCACACGGTGGCGCCAGTCTTCAACCAGAACAAGACTAAATGAGGTTGCATAATAAAAAACGTATTTTCTTCTTTTTATTCTCTGTGCTCTGATCAGCTCTGGTTGATCCCACGAGTCCAATCTGAGCCTGGTTTACTCCTCCGAGCAGGACTGCTCCTACGTGACTCACATCATCTTTGACCTTGGAAGGCATCTACTTGAACCATGAGGACAGTAAACCTAATCAAGTTATCGGACCCCCCCCCCCCCCCACACACACACACACAGACCGCCTACACAAGCTTTTCAAATGAACTAAAAAAGCCAAGCTGTGCTACACAAACTGCCTTCAGACACATGTCGTCCAATAAACCCTGGTAGAAACTCTGCAGATAAGCAGGACTACGTCAGACCGAAGGGGTGCCAGTACATGTTCTGTGAGAAAAATCTGTACAGCTAATATGGAGGGGCGGGCCAAGTTGTTCGTGTGAATTTGTCCCAGAACCCTGGCCCAGTTTCTCTTTGTGCCAGACTACCAAGGTCCACCTGATATTTAAAATCTCAGCAGCAGAAGGAAAGGAGAGTGAAGGATGCTGGTGTCAACAGTAAAACAATCTGTTGTGAGGAACAGGAACAACGGGCTCAGGATGAGGGAAGGAACTGCAACAGGCAGAAACTGTGGTGTACACACTAACCAACCAGAGCCACGGGATCCATGAAGACGCCACCTGCAGTTTTTCTATTAGTCCAACATGCGTGTGAACCCGTAACTCCATATCTTAGGTTTGAGCTGACTGCTGAGGTTTTTCTGTTTGCTCAAGCTGGTCTCAGCTGCTTAAACCAGAGCCACCGTCCACAGTGAAGCATGCTTCACATCGTCCTGGACTGACAGGAGCAGGGCTGAACAAGAGCTTCAAGAGTGAAGCTTGCAGCCACTCCCATAACAAACCAAACAAGCTTATGGTCAGAGAAGATTGGGCTTTTGGCTACAGTGAGAAGAATGTTGGGGAGTCAAAGTGATGCTTTCAAACCTGATAAGTCAAACACGGTGGTGGAATCATCATGCTGTGGTACAGGTGCACTGGAGACAGTGGGTGGAAGACTGAAGAAGGAGGACTACGCCTAAATTCTTCGACTTCATCTCAGGTCATCAGTTAGATCAGAGATGAGCAACATTGTTTTCCAAAGGGCCATATCAACACCATCCATCCATTTTCTTTACCCGTTTATTCCATTTTGGGTCACGGGGGTCGCTGGTGCCCATGTCCAGCAATCACTGTGCGAGGGGCGGGGTACACCCTGGACGGGTCGCAAGTCCATCACAGGGCCACACAGAGACAAACGAGACAAACAACCATTCACTCTCTCACTCACACCTAGGGACAATTTAGAGTTACCAATCAGCCTAACATGCATGTTTTTGGACTGTGGGAGGAAACCGGAGTACCCGGAGAAAACCCACGCATGCACGGAGAGAACATGCAAACTCCACCCAGAAAGGCCCCTGGACCGGGGTTTGAACCAGGGACCTGCTCGCTGAGAGGCAGCAGCTCTACCAGTTGCGCCACCGTGCTGCCCATATCAACACGTTTAAACCAATCAAAGGGCCACATAGAGACCTGAACATTTTCTTTATGACAGATAATCTAGAATACTTTTTTCAGGCTTTTTTCTTGTTGTAGCATCGTTAGCATGATTTATAAAAACATCTTTCCAATATTCTTTAATATAAGACATATTCTGTAACCTGCCTCTTACAGGTTAGCTTAACATGTTATACATGCTGGCAGAAATATGCAAAACAAACTTATGTATTTGTGTTTCTAAGTCTTTAAGTTTCAGTCTAATTCTGGAAATACAATTGCTGTACTTAATTATTATTATTTTTTTAAGTTTGTATAACATGTTTAATTGAAATATGCTTAAGTCTTGTTGATAAATTGGCCTTAGATAAGAGTTAAATGGTTGACCCTTGGATAAGGCAGACCAGCGTCAGGTTTCTGGAGTGGCTGTGGAGTCACGCTGTGGAATTGTTTGGACTATGGCTGAAATCTTGAACTCTCCTAATTCAGTCAAGATTAGAAGTCAAATATCCAGCTGGAGATTTCCAAGAAGCTCGCTGACATTTTTTAATTTTAAACACTGAAGTTGTATGTTGTATAGTCCTTCCAGCCTGGACTGAAGTGTTCAATTAAAGATTAGAGACAGTCCAGCCCACGATGAGTGTAAAGCACGTAAACTTCAGTAAATGAGACACAGGAAGTGTATTTCTACCAACAGCCTCTTGAGCAGCTCCTGACCCGTCGCAGACAGCGGTTACCTGCATTAGGTCGATACGCTCCCCCCCTGTGGTGGGGATAAGGAGGAGCAGACTGCTGAACTTCTGCCACGGCCCTCCTCTCCTGCTCCCACATCTCCACCTCAGACTCCGTGGTCCGGGAGCCCACGTCTGACACGTCGCCCTCGTCGCCCTCCATGCTGTTCCTGTAAGGTCGCCGCTGCCAGTTTTGAATTGCTTGTTTACGAAGCCCCCAGTTTCTGGATCCGCACCCCGGGGAACGCTCGTAACCCCCCTCGCCCATCCGGCACTGCATGTGATAGTACTGCGCCTCGGGACACTCCTCCATGGGATGCATCTCGACGCTGTCGCTGTCGTAACCTCCAGAACCCTGCGAGACGGACTTCATCCTTCCTGAGGCTCTACAGCAGAACAGAAGAAGTTCAATGATAAAAACTTTGGTTTTTGTCTTTTGAAGTTTCAAATCCCTCATAGCTAGTTTCATAATAACATAAGTATCACAAAAACATCATTGTGACTGTAAGAATGAAAGAAAAAGGTGAACCGTAGATGTTCTCGTAGAGTAATGAAGGAGAGTTGTTACTAGTTTATAAAAGGTGAAGCTCCAGATGAAAGCTAGTCTAAAGTTACCTCATCCATCAGCTAACACATCCAGCACAGAACAAATGCTGTAAAACTGACAGATTGTGGCCTTAATGCAGGTTCTGTGGAGGACTGGTTCTTACAGAGACAGTCGCCATCGAGTTGCCATGGCAACCAGTGAAAACCCGCTGAAGACATATTCCTCTAATGCTTGAAAAACCTCCATCTGTAGCTTTCCTTCATGCGCTCCCTTTCAGATAATTAGGTAGGGGACTTTGTAAATCCTGTACTTTAAAGTTATTCTGATCTTTGGCCTGACTGAAGATGTAACACCACCTAATTACACGAAGAAATCAAAAGCCTTTCTGGGTTTAATGCATATCAGCCAGCACTTTTCATGCCATGTACATCCTAAGATTATTTCCTGAGAGTTGCACTGAAATCTGTTCAGTAGCTTATGACATATTTTGCTAACAGACACTAAATACCAAGGGTTCATGTAAAGACGATGAGCAGGAAGCGTGCATCGATGGCGAGCAAAAACAATTTAAAGGACTTCCTGTCTGGATTTGCTGAGAACGATGCACTTTTCAGTTAATTTGAAGAAATAAATACACCAGATCAAAGAAAACAAACACAAACACAAATAAAATGTCTGTGTTACAGAGCAGGAGTCATACTGTTTCACATGATTTATAGTGAAATGTGGGCAGTACACACAAGCTGTCACCACAGTAAAAATAATCTCCATCACAAGCAATGAGAAGTCAAAACATCAGCCTCCCAGAGGGCTCCTTTTATTACAAAACTGAAACAAGGCAGCACCGGGACAGAGACTCAGTGAAGACAAAACACACTGGACTGATGGAGCTTGGAGGAAGAAAAAGGATGAAGCGTTTCACTTTGATTCTAATCCCTCAGAGCTAACAGTGAAAATAATCTGTGTGAGATTACAAAATCCAGTCCATCAGTCAGCGCTGTCTATTTAAACGTTCTGTTCAGAACACAAACGGACCAGGTTGGCTGTGAAAATGTGCAAAACTATCCTCCATTACTCTGATCTGTGTAAACTGATACATGTTGACTAATCCGACTCCCCCCACACACACGTCTGGTTCAGTTATAAATAATGTCACAACAAAATCTGACGCAGAGTTTAAAAGATGGCCGTGACTCCAGCAGAAATTTATTGATCCTAGATGATTAACAGAACGACGTTTGGCCACATGGTCTCGGTCTCTCTCTCTGTCTCTCTCTCTGTCTCTCTCTCTGTCTCTCTCTCTGTCTCTCTCTCTCTGTCTGTCTCTCTCTCTCTGTCTGTCTCTCTCTCTCTCTCTCTCTCTGTCTCTCTCTCTCTCTCTCTCTCTCTCTGTCTGTCTCTCTCTCTCTCTCTCTCTCTC